GGGTCAACAGGATCTTTGCATCAGACTATTCAAGGTTTTAACCAGTTGGCACAAAGACAAAACATGTTCGGTTTTAATTCATATATTTCCCAATTGATTTGACTATTCACAAAATGTGTAACCATAAAAAGAAGAATATAACCTCCAAGTCAAAACATTTCCTCCTAAATTGTTCTTTTAAATTCTAGAATACTAACCAACCAGAATCTTATAAAAAGCAGTTTGTCAACAACCTCCAACTGCTATTTTTAGCTGCCTTGTCTCACAAGTCACCATTATAATTACCATTGATTCATCTCCAAGAAATAACACACAAACAAATCATCATTTCTCTACATTTAAAAAAGTAAAACCCTAAAAAGAGTCAAAAAGACCATGGCCAGAGAAAACACTTCAACCCTAAACCTCGGAGAATCTACAAGTTTAGCCAAAATCAATCCCAAATCTTCACCGATCAAGAAACAGAGCCAAGAACAAAACTCGCCGAGTTTACGCCGTTGGGGCTCGTCCTCAGGTAAACCGGCGAGGCAAAACTGTCTCTGTTCTCCGACCACTCACGCCGGTTCTTTTAGGTGCAGGCACCACCGTGCCGATTCGTTGACACGTGTCGGGTCTGTTGGCTCGAACCTCTCTGTGCTTTTGTCATCCAAGTCGAGGCGGTTTAGTGATTCCCTCAAAGCTCAGTAAACCGGTTTATCGTTATTTGTTTCGGTACTACACTATAATATTAATATAGTGTCGGTTTTGTGATATGTCTGTTTTTTTTTCTATTGACATGACATTGTTCAATGATGTGTATACTAAACCGATTGAAATCGGCCTAAACCGATTCATGGTAAACATTTCTATAATTTTTCCACCGAATTAATTTATATTTTGAGCATTGGATTACACACACAATTTATACGCTTTTATTAGTTAAAAGAAAGTAATCACGATAGCTCAACCGAATCGAATCAAACCTAAAAATCAACTCGATGATTCCTAAACCGGACTAAAAACCCAAATTAACATCGTTTTGAAGTAACCGAACTAAAGACCCTAACATCGTTTTAAAGTAACCGAACTAAAGCGACGTCGTTTAATACAGCGCATAATTTGACGCGACGTGTGACAGAGTTGGTTAACTTCTTCTTAAATCACTCCTTCGCGGCTTTAACGACTGTTTAAGAAAAAAAAAAAACAAATGTTGATAAATGTTAAAAATATTATTTTAATTTTGATTGATTATTTTTGCGTTTGAATTTTATATATATATATAAAGATTTTTTTCAGATTTTTATTTGTTTTCTGCTTAAACAAAATCGTATCCACCTTTCTCTCACCTTACCAATCA